CACATCACATTGTCCCAACCAGTCAGAAGCAGGGAACTTCGGATTGCTATGTCTTAAAACATTCTTCAGCTCTAGAGGTGACCCAGCAGAGGAATAGATAGGCTTGTACAATGCTCTCTTTTTAACAGCTCTTGGTACCCCCTGCTGGTGAAATTGTGTGACCCAATTGGCGGGAATCTCAGGACAACTGCGGGGGAAAAAATTCCAAGTTCGGGAAGTCACAAGTGCTTGAGTCTCGAGGGTTGTGAGGACAGCATGAGTTATGCGACCATCCCATATATCATGTGACTATCTTATATGAGTTTTTTTAAAAAAACATTCTATAGCTATGGCTATTCTGTGGGCTCTGAGGAAAAAAAAAGTCTCTGACTTCTATGAACATTCCATCAATTCTTCAAACACCCCAGGAAGGAAATGCTAAGTTCTTAGACAAAAATAATTCATTAACTGGAAGTATTTCAGGCCACAAACTAGTTTCATGCAGCTTTTTCTTCCTCTTTCCTTGCATATATCTTTTTTTTAAGTGGTTATAATTTGTACTCAGAGTAGAATGACAGTCTTTTCTACACTTCAGATTGTAGACTTTTAAACATAAATTTGCACAACAAATTTATTGAGCTCTGGCTGTGTGCCAGACACTCAGCAAGAAATTGGAGTAGGTACGGGAAGTCGAAAGAGGTTCACCCAAGAGGTTCTTGCCTTCCTGGGTAGGAGGGTTGAATCACCGCAATTGGATTAGTCAAGTGCTTGGCTGCCATGGCAGCGAGGCCCTCCTTGATCTCCTGACAGGGTTCAGACCAGCGATTTGCTGCTCTCCCCTAGCTATATGTATTTTTCCTTCTTGGAAAAGAAGGAAAATCACCTTTGTGATTTTGTATCGATTCGTGTATTTACCTGTTTAGTGCCTGTCTTTGCCTCTAGTGTCTGTGTTCTATGAAGGTCAAGATCATGTCCAGTGTTTGACGCTATGAACTTCTTACATCCAGCAGAGACTGGCACGTGTAGGTGCTGAGTAAATTTGTGTTCAATGGGAGAGTCAGCCCGGAAGAGAAAACCACACATCTGTTTAGGGAGCAAGAGGAAACCTCAGAGAAGATGTGACATTTTTTATTTATTTATTTATTTTTTGCGGTACGCGGGCCTCTCACTGCTGTGGCCTCTCCCATTGCGGAGCACAGGCTCCGGACGCGCAGACTCAGCGGCCATGGCTCACGGGCCCAGCTGCTCCGCGGCATGTGGGATCTTCCTGGACCGGGGCACGAATCCACGTCCCCTGCATCGGCAGGCGGACTCTCAACCACTGCGCCACCAGGGAAGCCCAAGATGTGACATTTGAATGCCACTGAGCCTCGAAGGATGAAGAGGAGGTGGCCCGGGGAGAAGAATGGGGGCACACTGAGGAGTAGGGAGTACTGAGGAATGGTTAGGACAGGAAGATGAGGTAGTTGGTGTTTCCTAAAAGGAGACACGTGTGGAAAATGAGGCTGAGTTGAAGCCTGGAGCCATAGGTCTTGTATGCCCCACTCCCAAGTTTGGGATGTCCCCCTCTCTTCAGGAAAAAGGGAAGGGGATCAACTAAACTCTATGACTATAGGAATAAATACGATTTTTCCTAAATTACTAAGAGGGTTTTTAGTGATTAAATTTTGAATAAGATCCCAAAAGTATGGTTTTGTGTTTTATTTCCTTCTACATCCCTTCCATTTCCATTTTGTAGCTGAAACACCTGTCTACATATTTTAAAATTTTATATAGCATCATCATCACCATGAAAACATAGTGTCAACCATGGGTGAAAAAGTAAGGATGTAAAAACCTGAGATTTTTACCACTCCGTTGTCCAGTTTTTAAATGTCTATGTTTTAGAGAGGCTCCATTAAAAATTTTTTTTTTATCCAGGGGTTCAGAGCTACCCAAACATTTCTGTAAAATGCCGTTTTTCATAGATGCAGCAAGACCTTTTTTTTTTATTCCTTTGGAAACCAGTGATTTGTGCCTAAGACAACTCTTTCCATATTATCTTACCCTGAATAGAATGAGATTGGTTGGGAGTTCTGCCGTAAGGAAATATCAAAGCCTCCAGTACATGCTCATTTATAGTTTGAAAGTTAATTTTCTTATCGGATTTCCCTTTATTTCCTGCTGGGGCGGTGTGAGCAGAACTCAGATGGAGGCAGGGGGTCTGCTGTATATCTTTTCAAATTTATGATTAAGAAGGTCACATATACCTTCTTAATTTATTTATTTTTAATTTATTTATTTATTTTTGGCTGTGTTGGGTCTTCGTTGCTGTGCACGGGCTTTCTCTAGTTGTGGCGAGCAGGGGCTGCTCTTCGTTGTGGTGCGCGGGCTTCTCATTGCGGTGGCTTCTCTTGTTGCGGAGCACGGGCTCTAGAGCGCAGGCCCAGTAGTTGTGGCGCGCAGGCTTAGTTGTTCCGTGGCACGTGGGATCCACGCGGACCAGGGCGCGAACCCGTGTCCCCTGCATTGGCATGCAGTTTCTTAACCACTGCACCACCAGGGAAGCTCCACCTATACATTTTGAAACACACTCCTTTTTGATAATAAATGAAGAATAAAACTTTGAAATGTCATCAGTAGCAGAATTACTCGTTTTTCTTTCATTTGCGTTCCCCCTGCCTGCTGGCCGATTGCCTGCCAATGGTGAGAAAAGGCCCAAGTGACCGAATGCTTCATTTCTTGTTGTTTTTCTGTCTGCCTGGAATAGTTTCACTAGTGGAGCAGCATGCCTGTGGCCACAGCATTGTAACCAAAAGATGCACTTCTATTCCTGAGCGCCCTTCTTTCCCCAGGCAAATTAAAAAAAAAAAAAAGAAAGAAAAACAAAAAAGAAGAGGAATTGCATTTTAGGCTGCATTTGTCTTCAAACAGACAAAAGCTCTTCTCTTCCTGGATCCAGATTCACTCTCCACGCTTCTCTACTCTGCTGTCTGCTTACAGAGCAAGATCTAAATGGGTGCCATGCCTTTGGCTTCCAGTTGGGTTCAGCTAATGTGAGCCACTCTAGGAGGTCAGGTGGGGGAGGGAGGATGTAGTCAGGGAGTCTGTGCCTCTGGTTCCCTCTCTGTGGGGGCCATCCAGGACTGGCTGGATCCCTTGGGAGAAGCTCACTGCTTCTATACAGGTGTCCTACTCTTCACAACGCCTTTTGGCTTCTGGTTGCTGCCTCCTCTGCTTGTCCGCCTGGACCCACAGGTGATGAACAGCTTTCCTATCACTGTATTATACCTCGGGTTCCCCTTACACCCTTCTCACTTGGTCAGTAGTCCTTTTATACATTTTCTCTCCTCACTTGAGTGTGCCACCTGCCATTCTTCTGTGCGGTCTACAGCTAGATTAACTCCATGTGAAGGAAAATACCATCAAACTAGAAGTGATCCTAGATGAAAGCCTCTAGAATACTTCTGAGTCTAGGTTTACTGTCTTCTGACAGGGGGATCATTACCTCTTGAAACTGCCTGTTTCATTATCAGATGGGCTCACCTTTGAATATTTCCTAGGTGGTGCTGAATTTGACCTCTCTGGGACATCACGGAAACATGTCCTTTCCGTGTTGAAATAGGAGAGACCAAGATTGGATTGGAAGCCAAGTCCTGTGAAAAAATGGAGCAAGGGACCTGGGAGAATATACCCTCCAGATATTTAATGTGTAACCCATAGCCTTGCACATGATAGGAACAAAATTACTATATTTAGATACATAAATGTTGGGTAAACTCAGAGGGACCAGGTTGTTTATTTAGAAATATTTGGAAAACTGTCATATGCAAGTGGGGTTAGTCATATTTTTATATCTCTGGCAATAAATCTGAGACCCAGTAGTTGACATTTAAAGAGAGTAGATTTCAAATCCATACAAAGAACTTTTCAACTCTCAGCCTCCCAGTGAGCTGCCAAAGTCTCCATCACTTGCTGTAATCCAGGGGGGATGGGATTCCACAGCGGGACTGTTGGAGAGAGGATTCCAGCAGCGGAATGCAGTTGGACCAGTTGATGACACAAAAACAGGAGTAGCAGCTGCCACGTGTTAAACATTCACTGTGTGCCAGGCGCTGTGCTCCGAACACATTATCTCACTTAATCCTCACTTAATCCCTATGAGGTTGGCCTGTTAAGTTCAGAACTTACTGAGGTTAAGGAGCTTGCCGTGTATCATGCAGCCACAGGCTATGGAGGTAGGATCTGGACCCAGGTCTGCCTGATGCCAAAGCTGATGGTTTCAACCTCCAGTGGTTGGTGTCAGAATCACCTGGGGAACTTGGTGGCCAAAGGTCTAGTGCCTGTCCTACTTGTATGAATCTAGGATCTGTGTGCTTTTTCAGCTCTCAGAGTGATTCTAATTTACACGAGTTTGAGCATCACTGCTATACTTTGTCGTCATCATCGTCGTCGTCATCATCATCATTCCAAATGCCCATCTGGTTCTGAGGGTCACTATGGGAATAACTGCATCAAGTTCTGCTTTAACCTTTATCCTTTTGAGATATAAGACTAACTCACCTTCACCCTTACCCACTGCCCACACCAGCCCCTACTTCAATCTACCTTTGTTTGGTGGGCTATTTCATGAGCTCAATCCCTGAGAAAGGCCAGACTCCATTGTGAATCTCATTCAGAGCCATGGGAACAGAAAGGTCCCCCTGCCTCTTCTTCCCTTTCAAGGGAGAGTAAGGAAAGTGTTGTGCAAATCTCATTATTTCCCATTTTAAGCTCAAGTAAAGAACACACCCATTGCTGAGGATGAGGCAGGATAAATGTCATATTTCTGAGCAAATGGAGGCCTTTAGCAGTTTCAGGAAGACTTAGGTTTATTCCACCTTGACCTTGGAAGACCTGCCTTGACTCTGTTTCTGGAAAATGGACCAGGTTTGGGGGTTGAGGATGATGGATGGGGAAAAAGAACAGTCTGATCTTCCGGTGCTTGGATGCAACTGTCACCATCTGACTGTGATTTTATTCCCCTTGCACATGTCCCAAAGGAAGCTGGCCAAGAAGCAGAAGGAGACACAGAGTGGAGCACAGAGGGAGATGGGGCCCGTGGCCTCGGCCGACAAACCCACCACCAAGCTCAGCACCGGCCGCAACGACGAAGGCTTCTCTAGCTCACAGGACGTTAATGGATTCAGTAAGTTGAGCCAACTAAGGGGAAGGGGACATCCGTACCCGCTTGACCCTGGTACCTCTGCTGTTGACCCCTCACAGTGTCAGGTGCTATAGGACATGGAGTCTGGATGCTTCCCTGGGGTGGTCCAGGAGGAAGGTGCTCCCTTCGGGCCACCCATCCGAAAAGGAGAATTTCAGAACCTCAAAGCAGATGGAAATGAGGGCAAGCCATCTTAACCGCTGCTTGTGTACACAGAGGCAGGTTAAAACTAATAATAGTAAAAAAAAAAAAAAAAAAAGAAAAAAGAAGAAGGAAGACATGGTTGTGCCCTTAAGGAGAAAAATATGCCAAGCTGAATCGATTGTCTTACAGTTATCAAAACAGTGCTGCACATAACCACATAAAGTAGATGAGTTATGCGTCATCACTGTCTCCATTCCTCAGCTTGTGAAACTGAGGCTCAGACTTCTCCAAAGTCCCATGGCTGATGAGTAACGTATCCAGAACTGGAAGGCATGCCTTCCAAGCCTTGGTCAGTTTCAAGACACAGCTAGTGGTCCAAGTGGCATTTAGTCAAGAGCGACGGTGTCCTCGTGCAGAGTTAATACAGGATCCCAAGCTAATTGTAGTGGCTACAATTTCAGGGTTCACCCCATCCAGAGGAGAACATCAAGACTAGTAAACTACAGCTAGTTTAGTTTAGTCTGATCTTGGGGATCAGACTCAAGAGTGCTGACTTTTGCTCTTAACTTTCTGAAAACCAGTTCTTTTTCTGAATTGCGTAGAAATGCTAGATTCCCCCGCCTCTGCTCCAAAGGGAAAGCAGGAAATCTAAAGGAATATGAGCAGAGACAAATGTTCCCCCTACACTGTGCCAGTGGCAAAGGGAAGAAATCATACTTTGTAAAAATCACTTAGATAAGGTCAATTTGGGATGACGGGGATCTATGAGGATGAAGAAAGAAAGGAAACAAGTATTTACAGACCACCTTCGTCTGTACCACAGCCTTGTGAGATGCTTAGTATGATTGTTCCCATTTTATAGATGATGTATGCAGAGCTCAGTGTTTGGCTGACCTTCCCACAGTTACATAGCTGCTTCCTGATGGGTCCAGGATCCAAGGGTACCTCAGACCCATGATTCCTAACCTCAAGTGTACCACAGCACCTACCTGAGGCAGTTTTCAAAATCCGCATACCTGAGCCCCACACCTTACCTGCTGAATCCAAATCTCCTGGGGCACGGGGAGTGGGATGGGGACTCAGGATGTGGATTTTGTAAAAACCACGCAGGGGGTCCTTACAGGCACCCTGTTAAGAAGGCTGAACTTTGAAAGAGGCAACAGCTATTTTCAAATATTGACGTGCTACCTTGGGAAAGAGAGATTTTGTTTTAAACCTATAAAGACTGAAAAAAATGGTAAAATGAATACGCATGTAGTCTTTACCTAGATTCACCAGTTGTTCGCATTTTGCAATATTTGCTCTCTCTCTCTCTCTCATATACACACACACACTATATGTATACATACATTTTATATATATATATATGTGTGTGTGTGTGTGTGTGTGTGTGTATATATATATATATATATATAATTTTATGAACCATTTAGAAGTAAGTTTTAGGCATCGTGACACTCCCCCTCCAAAGAATTCAGCATGTGTTTCCTGAGAACTAGGACAGCTCCTCAGCATAAACACAATGAAATTATTTTACCCAAGAAATATAGCCTTGTTTCAATCTCTGATAGACCAGAGTCCATAGCTGAGTTTCCCCCATGGCCCTAAAATGTTCTCTCTAATTGTTACTATCTTTTGATCCAGGATCCAGTCAAGATGCTCACTTTGTATTTGGCCACCAAGTCTCCCATCACCTTTCTATCTACAACAGTCCTCCCACCTTTCATTTTCCTTTCGGGATGCTGACATCTTTTAAAAGTCTAGGCCAGTTGTCCACAGAATGTTCCACAGTCCAGATTCATCTGATTTTTTCCATCATGATCACACTCAGGTTAAACATTTTGGCAAAAATGCTACACAGGTCACATTGTGTATGTACTTCCCTTTGCATCATTTCAATAGACGCGTGCTATCACTTTGCCCACTCTTGGTGATGCTAAGTTTGAATACTTCTTAAGGTTGAGAAATGGCTTTTAAAGATGAAGTCTAACAGCACATACTGATTACTTCATGAGTCAATATTTAACTTCTGTTTTCCTCAGAGAGCAGAGCAAGTTTGCAGTCTGCCTAAACACAAAGTCAGTTCTTAATCCATTCTCCACCCGGGTGAATTTCTGGGATTTTCACATTCCCTTGGGTCCAGGAAAAGAGGATGCCGACAGAGGGAAGGAGAGGTGGAAAAGAGGGTAGCAAGGAACTGGGCTTGGTTTGTCCTTAAAGGCTCAACCCAAGCCTTTGGCCGTGTTAACTTGTCACTGACTCTCCTGCTTTTGTCCTGAGGCAAGGAAGTTCATTAGCAAGTCTAGCTGATGGCACTGCTGGCCAAGTGGTACCTATTCACCCCAAACCTTTCCTGTCCAGGCCAGGCTCTTGTGCACCTTTTTTTCCATTTCTGTGTTTGTAAAAATGTCCTGGGAGGACTCTGAATGCCAAAGAGATATGGTCAAAGACACATGACAAACATCATGATCCCAAAATTGTAGGTATTTGATCTTAAGCGTTCTGATTTCAAATGAAAACCTGGGTAACACCAATTTCTTGGATTTCAAGGGGAAACATCACCTCCATTTTCCCCGTGGGCTAAAACTTAGACTCTTAAGATAAAAGCGCCCAAGACTGAGGTGGATTGGCCAGCCGGAGAGGAAGCAGCAGCATAGCCAGTAAAATCTAATCAGTTGTTTTAAAGTCCAGACACAGTCTTTCCAAGATTGATATATGTGTGTTTTACATTTACATACACACATATACATGCACACAGACATAACACGCGTACCCAGACATGTGTATATGTATATTGTATGTACATTCATTTTAATGATATTGCTTTTAAAAAGATGGAAAAAATTCAATTGACATTATACTCAATTATTAAGAAATTTTGCATTTGTTTGAATCAGTAAATATTTTAGGATTCTGTCTGTGCATCTGGTGTCCTCAGGCTAGAGCCACAGACATGCTCTGGGGGTTCTTTTGAATGCCCTGGAATGCATCAGGTACCTTTTAAAATGCTCTATGGAATCACGGGGGTGTGATTTGAGGGGAAAAAAATGTAAGTAATGCTTACACTGGAGATGTAGAAATTGCTTCTGCAATCACCCTGATGTATGTAAAATTGAATCTATTTTCGTGGCATTAGGGAAGTGACTGTCTGGCTTCTGCATCGGGTCTTTAGGAGGGCCTGAGCTTATTTGCAAATGTTGAAGAAGCATTGCTAGAGGCAGAGCACAAGAATAGATGTCACATTGGAAAAGATTACAGAAAAACCTGCCCTGAGCAATTATTTCATTATTGAACAGGTGGGCCCTGGCCTAATTCAAGCTTTGCATCCAACTGTGTGGGTTTGTTTTCCTGGGTTTCCAATTCCAAGTGACTGCTAAGTTCTGCAACATCCGTTCCGTCAAGCCTCCCAATTTTGTACAGGACCAGTGACCTCTGGGATGCAGGGGTGAGGGGGCTTTGTGAGGTATGGACTGTTGCTCTGGAGTGCTGTGGCGTTCTGGAAAAAGGAGCGCCTGTCAGCAGTGTGCATTGTTTTCAGTTGAAAGAAATGCTGGCTTTTATTAAGTAATCTGATTTTGATCTTACTGCCTTGTGTACCTGCCTGTTATTTTTTTCTGAGACCTTTTGCTCCCTGGGATCATTTTCTGGGTCTTTCTTCTGCTGCTTTCTTTTTACATTCCTGCTTAAATCTTCTTTATGTCTTTTGTTCATAGTCTTATCCTCTCCTTGTTTTAGTCCAAATCAAAATGCTTCAGAACAGATTGCTGTTGAATTCTCTGATACGGGGCTTGGCTGTCTACCCTTCATGTAATAGCGTTTGGCAGACTCACTTGCCCATTGGGTACTGTTAGTAAACTCCATCTTCACTTTTTTGCTTCCATTCTATTCAGTGGTTTCATGTCTGGTGGGTGAAGGAGCATCACATGCCAGACCATCAAGCTCTCTGCTAAATAAAGAAGCAGGCACTGTTGAGGGCTTGGAGGTGAGATTTAGTGGCCATTTTCTCAGTGCTTAGTACGTGCCTGTCCCTGTCCTGAGTCCTGAGCACAGTTTGGGGAGGGGTGTAATTACAAAAATGAATAAAACAGGGCATTGTCTCAAAAATAATAAATGTTCCTACTTTTAAGTTTTTCATAGTTTACAAAAGTCCTTTTGCAAAAACCTGGAGCCATAGACCCTTATTCCTGCACCATGAAAGAGCTGGTAGGTTTCTTACTACCCCCATTCTACAGATGAGGAAACTGAGGTTCAGAGAGACTCCATGCTGCAAATCACACAGGCATTTGCAGAGTCATAATAAGGATCTGTCTCTCCTGACATCAGTTAGGTTTTATCCACTTAGTTCTTCAAAGAATTTAGAAAAACATCCATAAAAGTACCTACAGTAAAACAGCTGTATGAGAATTAAATAATCAGGATCAGGAAAACATAAATGAAGACAAGAGGGTCAAGACCAGGTTATTTTCAAATATAACTCCATTATATGAAAACGTAATCTGAATATGCAGGCTGGCAACTTTCAAATTCTAGTTTGGCTCTGCGCTTTCTAGTAACAAAAGCTCAAATAGGAAGATCACTTTTATTTGCACCTACAGTGTGCTAGACTGTAAGCTTTATATAAATCCCATTCTTAAGCCTCCTAGAAACCCTATAAATTAGGTATTATTCCCGTTTCATAAGTGAAGAAACTGAGTTTCAGAGAACTGGAGTAAATAAGCCCAAAGTCCCACACACATGGAGTCGGGGTGGGATTGGAAGCCAAAATAGGGTTACCTGACTCCAGAATCCATGTTCCTTCTCCTGCACCAGGAATGCAGTTCTCACCACTCACTGGTCTC